GGCTCCTAAGTCGAGTTCATGTGACTTGCTTGGAGTTTACCTTGGGAGTGCACGACCTTCACTAAGCTGTAAAACTGTTCACGTTCACAAGGTACAACATATTTCATCTCTTGATGAATGTGTTGTACTTATAACGGAGAAAAACTCGAAACGTTGTGACTTGTTATTGGCAATGAGTTTTTTACGACCACAAGGAACTTTTTTCTTTCATTTTATCATAAAAAAATAAGGAACAAGAGCAATGAGCAGAGCTTGAACCAACTAGGTGTAAGTTGTACGGCGGGAAAAATTAAGAGCAGAAGGCGAGAAAAGGAATGATATGCGAGTAAAAAAAACATGAATAAGTTTGGGTTATGAACAAGTACACGGAGAGATCGACGGTCCAAATCAGTCGATTAGCCAAGAGCGCGACAGCGAAAAACATCAACTGGGGCCCGGGATAACTCATTCGCTTCGCGAGAGTTTGTCCAAGGCTCTGGCACCCTGCTCTTGCCATTCTTCAGCAGTAACCCTAAATCAACCCGGGTGTTGATAGGACGCAAGCGTATAGTCAGTTCGAAGGATACGCAGAAAGTCGCTTGATTATGATAGACAGAGAAGAACCGCCAAATCTTAACATCAAGAGGGGTTGAGCACGACTTGCTCACCAGAAAGAATCGCGATTTTTCATGATATCGGCCAACACTGCGCCGCCCATGAAAACCATATGTTTACGCCTTGGCGGATCTTCGATCCGAATCTTGAATTTCTGCCAAGATTGTGAATCATGGTTGAATAAGAATATCAAGTAGGGAATGTATCAAGAGGAGAAAGAGAAAGAAACAAACACTAAGTCGCTCAGGATCATTTTGTAATACCCTTGTCAAGTACAGCTGTTTCATTTCCTTTTCGAGGCGACTGGGAAGGCCCGGATACATACTCGATCCGCCAGATAGAACGATATGTTTATACAGTTCACTCCGAACATCGACCGCCGCTGTTTGAATCGTATTAAACAGCAGCTCTTTTGTCGATGAAAAAAAAACATCAGTCTAAGTGTTCTTCACCACCGGAGAATGTTGGTCCCCAAGTATCTAGTATTGATTACTTACCGGCAACTCCTGGTGATTCGACATCGACCAGGTGAGGTTGAAACATGCATTCAGGTGCCCCAAACCGTTCTTGGCCGACTTTTATCACTCTCCCATCGGGTAGCTGATGTGACACAGTCCCAGAAGAATCAATTTATCAGAAATGCGGTTGTTGTTGGAAAGCTTTATAAATGGAATGGTGAACTGGGTTTGTTCTGCTTTATTCAATGGTTTTATTATGATCAATTGAGTACAACTGACCGTGTAATTCTCGACCAAAGTTGTTGTTTCTTCTGATAACTTGTTATCTAGATCCAAATCATAACTGTTGGGGTTTGTTAGTTCATTCGTTTCCATGATGACATATTGTATCGACGTAATCAAACCCACGAAACATAGCACAGTTTTTCTTTAATCTGTCTGACGGTTTCAAAGTCAGCCGTTCGATTGAAGGCATAGCCTCTCATGAGGAGCAATTTGATTAGATATCTAGCAGAAGCACAACGCGTGTCAGTACCACTTTCTTACTCTTATTTCAAAGAACAAAAAGAACAATCACTTGGTGACGTCACGTCCAGCTACGTCCAATCTTCTTGTCAGATGGGGAAGTGAAAATCCTTCGTAGACAGGAACAATATGAGTCACGCCATCCCCAGAATCAACTACTACGCCAGATTGTAACCCTTCAGATACAAAAAAATCAGAATACGTCAGATTTTTTTTTCAAGGATAGAGTAAGAGATGCGAGAGAAGTGTATTGACCTTGAGCATACAAGGTTAAGACGGCCTGAATAGCAACATATACACCACCAAATTGATAGTTTTCGAACATGACCTCACACATCTTCTGGCGATTCTTTACTGGATTCATTGGAGGTTCGGTGAGGAGGACTTTCCTACCCTGGGTGTTGACTTTCAACTTTTCGTTGAAGGTGTAATCCCACAGCAGGATCATGTCGTCCCAGTTTTTGACGATCCCATGGTCCATCGGCTGGGTGATTTGCAGATAGTTTCGGTGCTCTGAGGCTTGGTCTCCGATCATGATCTCATTCAACGTCACTGTCGTTTGTCCAAGTCCCGTCGATCGCTCTTCTGCTCGTAGAATCGGTCTTCCCACCAACGATGGAAAAGTATGCGACGGAAAATCTGTATAACCCAACATTGGGAAGTCCAATTTTCGTCATTTTTTCTGAGCGCATTTCTTCAAAAATCCAAGAGGAATATAACTGACTTGAGCCAGCAAAGCCACATTTTACGAATCCTGTGCCTGATGATTGAAAAAGTGGTTATTTTTTTTCAAGACGAGCCCCGGTGAGAGAGGCAAGGGAAAAAAGGAATGGATATCGATCATAGACTTACCATTGTCGACCACCAGTGGGTTTTCGAAGTCAGTGAGGTGGGCCATTTCTGATGTGATGCTTTGTCACCTAGCTCTGCTGGGCGTGGCTGGATTTCAAATGGGCCTGACCCAATGCTGTTTTGCCCGTCCGGTTTGCGTCGGCCCAGCCCGCCCAGGAGATCGATCTCACTGATATGTACCCAACAGTTGATTAAATAAAGTACACACACTTAACACTTTTGATGAAATTACCCGGCTTGCATTGGCAGCCTTGAGATCAATTGATTTTTCGCCCTGAAAACTAGATTTTCATTAAAAAAAATCAGTCGTCAGATTGAGCTATTTTGGACAGATCTGAATGCTTCAAGAAAGAAGAATGTTGAATTTCTATCACAAGTGTAATGGAAGTAGTGTTCAAGTCAGCAGTGTGAACCATGACATGCCATCCTATCTGATCCCAAAATGTTCTCATCCTTCATACTTCTTGATTTTTCTTCATTTTGTGCTTTGTTTCTGGGTATTTCTTCTTCTCTTCTTGTTGATTTAGGGACTGTATAAAACCCTGTTGGTTTTGAACTTTCCTGAGAAAACATTATTATGGCCAGAATCATGTACCAGAGGGTGCTTTCCATACCCTTTATTCATAGTGAGAAATGCTAATGGAAAAAGTTCAATGAAAACATAAAACAAATCTAGTTCAACTAAGACTACTTGGTGGAATAATGATAAAATAGAGTATTTTTTTCTTTTGTCTCATAAATTCTGATAGGAAAACATAAGTAATTGAGCACAAAGAGAGCTGATTTTTGGTTGGTAGTGTGGAACTACCACTTTGATGGAGAATAGAGCATGAGAGGGATACACCAGACCCAAAGCAAAGGCAACATGTACACATTACCTCATTAAGTACAAAGAGGCCCCTTTGTACCTAGCAAGGCAATGTGTGCACATTGCCTTCACTTTGGGTGTGTTGATAAGTGTCTGAATGGCATCCTGATGGGAAACCTGGGTGATTAATGTAAAACAAGAATCAGAGTATGAAAAAAGATGTGGTAGGTGGGGATGTTTGGTTATAAAGAGAATAGAAGAAACCCCAAGTGGCTAATGGTAAGTACTCAGATGATGGCATAAAGGGTTTAGTAAGAATTTTGAACAGTGCTAAACAATTCTATGTTGATTACTATTGATCTGAAAATAAGCACACAAGACTGCTTTTGCAGAAACATCTGGACAGATCTGAGCAGAGCTGAGGTGTGGGTGTGGCTGAGGGGAAACAATGGGGACAGAAAAAGTGGCTAACAAATTCTGGGAAGGATGTGGCTGTGAAGGAAGTAGATAGTGATGAAACAAGTTACAATGCCTTATAAAAGAAATGTGTTAAAGCTGATAAAATGAAACATGTCACACTGCAAAAAAAAAAACTTGCTCAACTTCCTGCAGTTGAAATGCAGCATGCTCAAGCCAAGCTGCCATCAAAACTCCACATGTTTGCATATGTATATGTTTTGGCACAGTCACTGTACAGTCTGCACAGTGAATGTGCATCAAAGCTTTGTTGAATCACTTTTGGAGAATGGTTGGAGTACAAACAGAAGCTTCCTGTGACTTTCTGCATGTCAACTGCAGGCAGTTATGAATTTGTTTTTTGCAGTTTCACAAGCTTAAACACTTTGAAATTGAAACCTACTTTGTCCAAATAAATGTCTGTCTTAGTCATCCACCTTTGAATCTTCCATCTCCACTCTACCCAAAACTCATTCTTACTCTGCTACACAACTAAATCTTAGAAGCTCACCTCTCTGCTCAATTAGATTGTGCTCACTCAATTCTCTCCATGCTCTGGTGAGAAATTGACAACCTTAACTCATCTCAGTTGGAATATACATTAATCTTCTATTTCTTTTGATCTCTATCTCTAAATATTCCTACTTCATCTTAAATCATCTCTGTAAGATTCCTTGACTGCTCAGGTTATTCCCTATCTCTTCTTATTTCTACTCTCTTTTTATTTCTAATTTTCTATTCTCCAGTCCTAGTCAGCTTTCATTCAGTTTCTACTATTGATATTTAGATGAAACACTTTGGGTATGATCATATTCTTTATTTCCTTCTTTTTCACTTCATTTATTTTTTCTCTATTCTAATCATTTCTTTTTTGGTCTTCCTCTGGATTTGTTTTTCAAGAAGTAAATTCTAGCTTCTTTAAGGCGGAAACAATAGCAATCTTTGGTAAAAATCCCCTGAGGGAAATTAATTACTAAATAGTTGAAAACTATTACAACTGACAGGTGGTCTGAAAGACCTGCCCTGCAAATAGTACTACACAGATATAAGGAATCTTGAATCAATATTTGAATAGAGATGACTGATTTAAAGATAGAGATACTTTGTATAGTTGCCTCTATCAGACCTAGATCACCGTAATCAATATTCCTGCAGACCTAACACAACACTTGATAATGGGTAAAAAATCCAGTGAGATTCAATACATGAAATATAACAGTTTGTTGAGGTAATAGTTAGTGTGCTCCCATGATTTATCACCTCAGTTGAACCATGACCACTAACACCAAACAGCATGGCCACAACAAGTGTCTGTAGCCTAGTTGGTTAAGGAAGCAATTTAGTATCTCTCTAAGAATTGATGAGGTTGTGGGTTTGAGTCCCACCAGAAACACTTTCCTTTTCACAGTATATACATCTTAACATAAAGACTACTAATATCTCTTATTTTTTATAATTCTTCGTGTTGTTAATCTCATACTATCACTAAACCTCTATACTTAGGCAAAAATTCTACTGGCCTCTACTTATCAACTTCTAACAATCTAATCCGATTAATCACCATCAAAATAACTAAAAATAACTAATACTAATAATACTACTAACTGGTCATTCAGGACAGACTATTTATCTGAAAGGTTGGTGAGGAAAGGTTGGCTTTCTTGGAGGGAAGACTTTGTTTTATATGTAAGAGGGGTCAGTTTTTCTGCAGATGAATTTCTCTTGAGAAATTTCAACTCCTTGAGACATTTTTCAGCACAGCATGACATCATATTCTGCACAGCATGATTTGTTATTCTGCACAGAATGATGTAATACTCTGCACAGCTTAATATCATATTCTGCACAGAATTATGTAATTTTTGTGTGCTTCTTCATGTGCCAGTGTGGTATGCCTTTTGGTGGCAAAATTTCAAATTTTTATTCTAGGATACTTCTCTCTTATTTTATACTTTCACATGTATTTCTCTTATGTTTTACTCTTCATTAGCATTTAAATACATGAATATGCTTGTATAAAACCTCCCATGTTATTGATTTTTATTTTATATATGTCGGACAAGGGGTGGGCACATGGTGGTGTTGAAATTATGACCTTTATTTTCTGTTCTTTCTTCTCATACCTAAAAGAATCATGATCAGCTTGAGATTTTGAATCAATGAAGTTAGCAGTTCCTAGTAGCAAGATATTATAGTGTTATCAGCTGCATGTAGTCTTTGAACCTTTCTAGAGTAGTTCAAACTCATCATTCTAGACTCATGGAATAGTCTATCCAATTTTGTTCCTTCTTCTATTCAAACACTTTTTCCTTTATTCATTTTATCTTGACCATGTGAAACTCTGAAAAAAATATGTGCCCTGTGGGAATTGAACCCACATCTCTTATGTCCATGTGAAGTGTACTAACCACGTCTGTACTAAGGACACTTGGAGCTGAATGACTGTAGATGGGTCAATGAATGCTACTGTTGTCTATGAAATACCCATTTGGAGGGTGAAAGCCTGTAATTGACAGGTGATAATTTAATAGACACCAGCAGCTAAGATAAAGCCTAGACAAGCAGAAACACACTCCAACAGACCACAACTTGAACACCTTGTAACTAGTCTATTTAGTCCTCTAGTTACAAGCAAAACAATCATTGGTTCTCCTCCTTACTTTTCTGCCATACCTTGGGCCAATCCAGTGTCTCTCTTTTAATTTCTCTGCTCGTGATTATTAATCCTCCTCATATTTAACTTCCATGACTTCAAGCCAGAAAGCCAAAAACTTAACAGGTGGAGGATCCTCAATAAATCTGGAGCATGTCATGTGGAAAATACAGTGGGTAGGCAAAAGCTCCACATGATAAGTACCTTGCATTAGAAGTGGAGGTGACATCTTGGCAGGTAAGCAGTTTCACTGCAAGAAGAATGTGTTGGTAGCATTTGAGGGAATGGAACAATTAGAATATACCATTGCACAGCTTAAGTGAAATCATAGTGGAGGACATGCATGGTTACTTGGCAACCTTCACTGCATGAAATTATAAATTCACAGCAGCTGGTTGTTCCCACCAGCAATAAACCCTCGCTTGCTTACCTCAAGTGCAGAAATATCTCACAGTTGTCTATAAAAGAGGCTTTCTTCTCACCTCATTTTCTAGCATCTCATCTTCCCATAAGATCAATCATTGCCTTCTCACATCAGTTGTAGGGTAAACATAAGTACAAGTTATTATATATTATTTAGTTATTGTTGCAGCACCTTATTGAAGTAATTTATAAGTAAAATTTAATAAACACATTACATAAACTGGAAGAGTCATTACTCCCAGATTTTGAGTGCCATACTGAGTTGAATCATACAAGCCCTTCACCACTAGTGATTAATTTGGTGCCTAAAAGACAAGAAATATCACTTAAATAACTTTCAAGTCTATCTTGGGAGTTTTGTATCTGATATTTCAACAAGGCAGAAATTTCCTCAATTCATCTGTTTTCAGATTCAGTAAAAAGGGGGTTAAAACCAATTTTTGAGTCTTACACCAGAACATTCCTGTTATGCAGCCAACTCAATGTACTAGGTGGGATTTGGCTTGCCAAAGCATTAAGGTAAAATTTCAAAGATCTTTCCAGAGTCTCATTTTATTTTGATTGAAGATAGTCAAATCAAGCTCAAAGTTGGGATAACTAAATAGGGCAATGGCTATTGGCTCAAGGATAAGGAGGTGAGAAAATTAATATTAATTGACTGAGGAAAGAAAATTAAGAGAGAAAACCCAGAAGATACAAGTGTCTTACGGATTAGAGAAAGAGACAGTATATGTGAGAGTAAAAGAAAGTTGTGAATGAGATTGATTCAAATTAAAGTCAAAAAATGATGTAATGATGGAAGAACATGCTTTGAACAAGCCAGAAAAGCAGAGATGATGATTGAATCAGGTCCAATGATCATTTGACCATTGAAGTATAAGAGCAGTTGCATTGGTTGGGTTAAATCTGTGTGTTAGGCTTAACCCACAATATTGGCCAGGTCAAGCCCAGGTTAATTAACCAAAATCACAAATATGGGCTAAGAGTCTAAAAATTTCTAGACACTTCATGGGTTAACAACATTTTGATTATGCAAAATATCACCACAGTGTGAGCCTCACTCATGTTAGCAGGGGAGGATCCCTGGCACTTCACTGTCAAGTGTGATTGCATATATTCTTAAGATTTTTGGTTTGAAACCTGTAGCAGTTTGGTTGCATGAAACCCATATATACGCTGAGAAAATTAAGTTGAACCATTGTGGAATAAAGTAAAATATGTGTATCATCATGAACTGAAAGAAAGAATTTCTCAACTGCCTACAGTTGAAATGCAGCATGCTCCAGCCAAGCTGCCATCCAAACTCAACCTCTTTGCATGTGGAGAAGTTTTGGCACACTCAATTTGCAGTCTGCACAGTGACTGTGAATTAGAGCTTTGTTGAATCACTCTGGGAGAAAGGTCACTGAATTGATATTTGGATACAAGGATGAAATAAAAACACAACACCATCCAGTGTTTTTGACGTTGCATGAAGATTTTAGAGCTGAAAACTGGATGTTTCCTCAAGCTCTTTTGGGAAAATTTCACAGTCTCTTACCAGCAAATTGGTATTCAATGGGTTTTAGAGGTCCAATAAAGGGATGAGACAAAATTGTGCTGGTGAGTACGCACATGTACATGTGTACATTAGCGTGGCACAAGCTGGAACCAAGTGAAATGTGGGACATTGTAATGCCATGTTTCAGGGGAGATTTGTGTGAAAGGTTTGAAGACAGGCAAGGATTTCCAAAACAGCTTTTGGGTAGACACCCTTTAGCACACAGAAGCATGACAATGATTAATCAAGGATGCTTACTGATGAAAAAAAGGTGGGGGGCCAAATAAAGCATTGGATTCTCATTGCCAGGTTCTGATAATGGACAGGGGAGGTCACAAGTAAAAAAATTGAGGCTGCATGATATTGAGAACATGGTTTATTACCCAACCAACAATTTTCAAATAGAAAAATAGTAAGCCTTCATGGATTGGATCTCAATGAAATGAAACAGACATTCTCTATGAGGTATCTGGAGAAAAATAAAAAGAGGAGTGACACAAGAAGGGCTTTGAAAATGGAAAACAGGGTATTTTCACAGTGGGAACAATGTCTAATGGTTAAGGAATGAAAAAAGAACTACCCAATTTTCCCATTATTATGTAATAATCATTGAATCATGCTTCAATTTGGATTCAACTTTGGTTTCATATTGATTATGTAAAATTCAACTTATCTGATGGGGATGGATTGGGATCAGGTCTACTTCAGATTAGGTTTATATCAAAATACCCCCCCCCCTCTCCCATTTGTTGGGAGATAAATCAGCATTTGTTTATTTTCTGTTAATGTAAAACTTATTAACACTTCCTGCAATTTTCCAGGAAAAAAATGAATTATGGCACTCAACACCAAGTGCTGGGAATTTTCCCCTGGTGTGAGTGTCTTGCATGATTACATAAGCACCACTTACTAATTAGTCTCAGATCCTTTCCTTCCTAGTCCAGTAGAGAATCTTGTTCCCTTCTCTCTAATAAGTAAGCCTTTCCCTTCCTCACCTTCTAGTGATAATTAATGACGCAAGAGAATCTTGTTCACTTCTCTCTACTGGCTAAAAATACATAATAAATCCCTTATAATGGTACTACAACCAACGTTGGGCCGCTACACTACACTACATTACAGGCCAAAATAGCGTAGCATAGCGGCCATTTTTTTTCCCGTCAATGCTGTAGCGTTAGCGGCGCTACAGGATGCTACACGCTTGCTTTGTAGCGGAAAATAGCCGCTACAAGTGCTGTAGCGTAGCGTAAAGAGGCCTTTTTTGGGCCTTGTTCCATTAGCATTAGCGCAAAACTGCTGATGGCTACAACAAAAGTCGTTAGCTGTTAGCGGTTTTATGCTACACTACGCTACACTAATGCTAAGTGTAGCATAGTGGGCCCACCGTTGCTAGAACCCTTCCAGGCCCACATTAAGGGCTCCTAGTACCCTTTGACATCCATTCATTGAAGGAATCAAATGGATTCCTTACACACATTCTGGGTTAACATCCCTGGGCCCAAAAAATGGTAGCAACCAATCCTTTTGTATATCCTTTCCCAAATAAATCCCACCAAAATCAAACACACAAAATGCCAAAAAGTGCCAGAAAGAAAAAAACCACAAAACAAATACACAAACCTGGTGCGTAGCTGGATTGAAACAAGATATTTCAATACACAGACTGGCGGCTCTAGAGATGCAAAGAGCTTTGGTAATAGGTATGTTCTTTCTTACTTTTCTTTTCTTTTCTGGTTTTTTTGTTTCAAAATATTTACACATTATTGGTTTGTAGATGGGATGTACTTCAAAAAGCAGCCCACAAATTTGTTAATTTTTACAATGGCACTTCACTGTCAAGTGCCATTGCGTATATTCTCCCAGAGGTTTGGTTCAAAATATTTAGCATGTTGGCTGCATGAAAACCATATATTAGTTTCAAAAATCAGTTGAAACATTGTTGAACTAAGTCCTCTAATGTGTATCAGGATTAACAGCTCATGCATAATTCAACAGTATCTCTGTCATAACCTTGTTAAACAATATATCATATAATTTTTTTCCCACAGCTTATTACCACCTTATGGCCACCAAATATATATTTGGATAAAAGCATAAAATGAAAACAGGGAACCCTCTATAATTTTTGAAGTTTCATGAAGATTGTGGAGCTGAAAAATGGTTTTTTTCTCCAGATCTTTGGAGATAAGTTCACCATCTCCTCCCAACTACTTGGGCTGAAATGAGGTCTAGAGGTGCAATTGGATTTGTAAGATCATCAGTCACCTGGGAGGCATATCT